ATAGTTTTAGACATATAATTACAACATAATACCAATGTTTTAATAATTGGTGCAATAACCAATTATTATTAAATCAATAATTGGTGCAATAACAGAATAATAGAGTTATTATTTTGACCAACTGTTATTTTTTGACCAACTGTTATTGTTAATGACAACTTTTTATTTCAATTTTTTGAAGAAATGTTATTAGACATTCACAGAAAAAAACAAAACAAATATTAACATTTTACTCAAACCCGCAATCAATCTGTCTGTCTGTCTGTCTGTCTGTGTGTCTGTCTGTCTGTCTGTCTGTCTGTATGTCTGTCTGTCTGTCTGTCTATCTATCTATCCGTCTATCTGGCAGGTATGGCAAAATAATGTAATGGAGAGTTACTGATGAGAGGACTGATCTTTTTTTATGTGCAACAGCACACAGTGAAGGAAGACTTGAAGAGAGGCACAGGAAGGTGAATGAGACCATTGTCTATAAAGGGCTGTGTGACGTATGCTTAGCTTGAGAGTGAGTGTGTGTGTGTGTATGCGTGTGTAAGGTTCAGTGCTCAGGGAACCAAAGCTTGGCCCTGACCATGAATCAAGCTCAGCCCAGCGCCAAGGCTGACAAACACATAGACTCGCGCACACACACACATGCGCGTGGACACTCAGGAGACCCTGAACATCTGTGCCCCACATAACACAGACTGCCAAGCACTAGTGAGGACTACATCTCCTCCACAGAGAGCCGGGTGGAGGAGGAGCACCATCATACCATCAAAGAAGAAAGCGTCTCAAAGATCTGGAGTAGTTCATGATAAGGATGAAGTTCATTTGCAGTGTAGCCGTGTGATTGCGGCCAGTCTTTAAGAGTGGATGACTTAGGAAGAGAGTGTGTGTTCATTGTCCAAGCTCATGAGAGAGACATGGCGCTCCCTCTGAACCTCTGACAGCCCTCCTGCCCTCTTTCCATTACTAAAGCTAATAACACACACACACACACACACACACACACACACACAATCCAGCACGCTTCTGCCTAACACCACACACACACACATATGCGCTGCAGGAAACTCTTCTTGCTGCATTTCTGAAATATATTGCTACATACATAGAGAAGAGATGTGTAGAAGAGGCATGAGATGAATAAAGGTGACTGAATTACAGCATCTGGCACCACCAACGAAAGACAAATGCACTGGTCATGCCTATTAATTACCCAATATTTACTATATTTAGACCATGGTATTACCCATACACTAATCAGTCCATGAAAAAACAATCTAAATAATAATAAAAAAACTAATTTTTTCCTCTCTGAACTCAGAAATAATAAGTTATACAGCAGAAAAACAAACAAGAAAATACATTTAATTAATATTCCAGCCACTTTAACACTTGATCTTTGAACAACTTAGTTAGTCTTATGTGCTTTATAATCAATGAATGATCAAAATAAATATTCTGAATCATAATCATCATGCAATTATATGACACCACCTTTCTTTCTAGATCTAAACCTAAATCTTTCCCACCTGCAGTCATATAAAATGTGTTTGTGAACTCTATGAGCACAGTAGCAGGTCCGTATGAAAACTGCATTTAGGTGTGCTGTATCATTGAGGCCAGTCGATTAGGGAAAGACTCGGACGCTCGTTTATAAAGGCCAAACGCTGTGCTCTTGGTCAAACACACACGCACACACACACAAGCGCACACACTCACCTGACCCAGTATAAGTTTGTCTGCTATCTCACCATAACAAACGACTCTGCTCTGGCTGTTTATCTGAGGGGAAGTGGAGCAGCGAGGGGGACAGGTGAGCAAACGGCTCGCTAACACGCTGACTAACACACTCCCGATTTCACATGGCCCCCTCATGCTTTTCTCTTACTGTTTTCTGACCCATTTCCATTCCTTGTGCCTTTCTGCTACCCAGCGCTTCGATTCCACTGCACCGAGCGCACCAGTGACTTTCGATGAATGTGTGTGTACATGCAAGTGTGTGATTGATCCGGCTAGAAACAGCGTGTGAGGAGGAGAGAGGGAGGCCGGGAAGAGAGAGAGAGAGAAAGAGAACGGTAATAATACGGCCCTTTCATAATGATTAAAGCATTCATTAATTTTTCATCATAACCTGCCGTTTGCAGCTAATGGTCTTTGTGAGGTACACAAGCAAACAATGGACAGGCGAGTTGAAAAGGGATTTTTATCAGGCTATGAGAGCCCTGGCTCAATGCACTGCCCACCTCCCCTTTTTCATTTCTCTCTTTTTTTCTTTTCTTTTCTTTTCTGCTTCTTTTTCCTCTGTGTCCGTGCTTCTTGAGGGACCCGGCTTCTTTTGTTTGCACATTTCATTCGAACAAAACGCTGAGAGATAATGCACTACTGTAGTCTCCTGCTAATGGACTGTCTTTTGCTTGCTTGCTTTCTTTTTCTCAAGAGTTCTATAAGTATCCGATACGTCTTTCCCATATATTTTTCCTGGCTTCCTGCATATGGCAGCTGTTGAATTTCACAGCCAGACACTTGCTTTAACCTTACGGCTTTTCTGTAATGTAACTATTTTCTCTGACGTAACTATTAAAATCAAATGTAAATGAAGCAAATTCCTGCTTGGATTCGCAAAGTAGGTTGATTTTCAAACAAATGACTTTATTTAGTGCCAGCAAAACTCCCAACGTCTGTCACACATCTTTGCCTATTCAATGTTTTGTCTAGTTTGATGATGCTGTCAGAAACCAATGTTTAAATCCAGTCCAAATATTTTCTATGAGATAAAATATTAATAATAAATAACTTCTTAAGATCAGCAATATCCTCTAAGTTCCTATGAGTTTTTAAAGCTAATTTAGGGGGAAAAAATTCACAGGCTAAAGCAGTGACCAAGTTACACTTTGAGCATCCAAATTTCTTCAGATACTCTAAGAAGCTAGATATGATGCCACACTGTATGATATTGTGTTTTCCCAGCCAAGAGCTGAAACACAGGTGTTTAAACTGTTTATAAGATTAATGTCTTTGCGATATGTGAATGTACTGAACTTGAACTTTGATACGTGCCACAAAATGTTGTTGCGTGAGTATGAATAGAAGTCAGCGGAGCAAGATCTAGTCTGACCACACCCTAAAACAAAGATTGGAGAAACGCAACAGTTGAAGATGAAGACATCTGAGCACACAAAAAACACAGAAAACCAAGCATGTTAAACACAGCCGAATGTAAATAATATAGCAAAAAGCTAAAGCACTGACTGCTATCTTTGTTTGCTTGCAATCATCGCATGGTTGACAGCAGGATCTATCTATCTATCTATCTATCTATCTATCTATCTATCTATCTATCTATCTATCTATCTATCTATCTATCTATCTATCTATCTATCTATCTATCTATCTATCTATCTATCTATCTATCCATCCATCCATCCATCCATCCATCCATCCATCCATCCATCTATCCTTCCATCCATCCATCCACCCAATCCATCCAACCATCTATCCACCCAGTGTCAGTATGTTCACATGTGTATTTGTGCACACATTGGCTAATTCACATAGGGAGCAGGTTCTGATTATTCATGAGGAACTGGCCTCTAATTACAGTGTGAGTGTGGTGTGATGTAAGAGACAGAGAAAGAGAGAGAGAGATCCTGTGGAAGGAGCTGAGAGCCGTTCTCTCAGTAATCAGTCTGAAATGAATATGCAAAGTGTGGCACACAATGGCTCCGAACAGCTGATCCCTGCCTGCTTAAACAAAGGCCCGACTTTATCAACAGCTCTCATTAAGCAGAATTTGTTAGTCAGGACTGATGGGTAGATAGATGGAAGAAAGGATGAATGTGTGTGCGAGAGAAAGATGAGATGCTCTCCAGAAAATCCTTCACACTTTCAGTTAATTTCACATTGTAATTTCATCACAATAAGACAAACGTGTGCCAGTCTCCCCTGACTGTCTAAAACAGTGAACTTTTTCCACTGACAGGGTGCCAGTGATGGTTTGGGAGTTGGTGCCCAATCTGGACCCATTCCACATGCCGTTTCCACACAGAAAATTTTGTTCTGTGGGGGAAGGGAATTGGCTGTGCAATAGCTCCTAAACATCCACCCAAGAAGTTTTCGGAATAAGAACTCTAAACCAAATGACTCCCAAAATGAACAACAAACCTTCCAAACTAGGAAAAAAAAAAAGCCTGACTTGATGGCACTAATTGGCTCATAGTAAAATAAAATTATTTTGTTTACAAAAAATATCTAATATAAGTAATTTAATAATTGTTATTATTTTAAATTAACTATAAGGAATAAAATTAAAAATGTAATAATTTTCCATTGAATCATTTAGAATCATAATCATCAATTATAAAATAATAAAATTAATTTTACAGTAAATAAATAATACGCCTAAAAATATTAAATAATAATTATAATAATTTATAAATATAGGGCATCCTAAGGAGCCTCAATGAGCATTATATATAAATGAAAAACAAACAAATAAATAAACAACTTGCTTTAGCATCCAAATGAGCTAGTAATGGCATTATAAATAAATGTTTTCTTTGCCATGCAAATTAGCCAGTGATAGCATGAACATGCTAAATTAAACGACTTTCTGTTAATATACACATTATCAGCCCGAAATGTTTGTTCACCAAGTCTACATTAACCCAATCAAAAAATGACAATATTACATAATATTTAAACATAGGAGCCTTTTGAACGTGAATATGTTTAGAATGTAATTACTGTAATTCAAATCTGAATGTTTAACTCTTTAGTGTTACGTGAAGATCATTAAACAAACCTTATGTTTCCAACCCTTTGATTTGTATTGTGTGTTCACAACATTTTCAAACAACCACCATGACATATTCAGTAGTGAGCATCAATGCTCAGCTCTCAAGATCAGTTCAGTTCCCTTTTCAGGCACTGTGAAAACATCTATGAAAACAGCTTTTTCTCTCACACCTTCACAATCATGTGCGTCAAAACATATGAAAGTTTGCACTGCTCACCCTCTGGCTCGTTCTTGATGAGTTCCTCCATCTTGCGCTGTTTGAGCGTGTCGACCACGTCAGCTAGGCTGCCCTTGCGTCTCTCCGGTGTGCCCAGAGCTGATGCAGAGCCGGGTTCACTGCCCGGCCTCATTGAGCTGTCCTCCTGCTGCTGTTTACTGGGTGAGGTAGACGAGTTGTGCTGGGCGTAGGGGCTCAGCGCCAGGCCTTTACTGCCATCCTGATCCTGACAGACACATGCACAGGGAGACATGGTGTTAAACAAAGCCACAAACAGGACTACACTAATTATTTCGTCCTGTTCCTGAGTGCTGAGGCATGTTTAGATTTACTTTCATCCTCATCTGCCCATCTGTACTCTAGAAAGTCTCTCTCTCTCTCTTTTTTTTTCTCTGCCTCTGCCGGTCTGAAGTCTCTTTAGACAAAATCATTAGCGGCAAAAAAGTTTCAGTGGTTTCACCATCACAGGAACTGTCTCTTCCTCTGAGAAGGGAAGTTTTTCTACTTTGAATCAGCTCCAAACACACAAGAACGTCCAAGTTTTTCAACCGCATTTTTTTCCTTCTCTTCTTGACCAACATGACAGCTGCGATATCAATCACCATCTTCGATGTTTTGTACATTGATCTAGTGTCCAAATATATAACAGTTCTCATCTTATGGTTTCTTATGTAATGTGGCTTAGAGTTGAGTTTGTACACTATAAAAAGTGGAACTGTGCAGTTGTTGCCTTAAGGGTCTATTTCTATAGCTAAAGTCATATAGTGCAAAGAACACAACGTAGCATTTTTGCTTAAGTACAGTACATGCATGTATACTGTAAACTTGGTAAGCATTTCTGAATTATCTCATGCACACACCATGTCACTTTCTCTCAGCTCCGGATCTCCTTTTTAAAGTTTAATTACAAAACAAGTCAGGTATTTGGAGACGAGGTCAACAGTCCAAGTCCGTTAATCAGGGTTAATCTTTGGTTAATCCACATCTATTATCTTCCTTACCACCCGCGTGACTGACAGCGACATCAGCCAATCAGACAATAGCATAATCCCACTGACATGTTTGGATCCTAGTGAGCAGATTTACACCTCAACAGTCAACATCAGCTTCTCTGTGCCACCTGCAACTGCCAGATTTCCACAGTCCAAACTTGAGTTTTTCAGGATTGATCAAGTTCTCCATGCAGGTCTATCACCCGCTTAGATTTTAATAATGACATCTGTTTTTAATCATTAACTCAGAGTGAACAGAGAGCAGCAGATGGTTCATTTACTAGAGCTTAATGCAACACGAATTGCACAAGACTTTCACAAGACACAGAACAGTGGCAAATACAATTTTATTTATATCAGTTGAGTGAGACTCTTAGATGATCTAATTTGGCCCTGTCGACACAACAACTCATACAACTTACAGTACCAATATTTGCAATTTATTAATGTGCACTTTTCTACTGTTTAATTATAATTAAGTTTTATGTTATTACATTTATTAGGCTTAATATTTTACCTTTGTTGGCATCAATTAGTTAATTCATTAATTCATTTATTTATTAAATGCTATTTATTTTTAACAATTTTTTACTTATGATCAAAATAATTTTATATAATGAGGAAATGTTGGACTGCAATGGGAAAAGCTTCATAATACTACTATTTTATTAAAAAGCTCTTTCAATGCCTTAATTACGAAGATTTTTTAACTCTTTATGATAAAGCAACAGTTTATTGTTATTCTCTTTTTGACATTTTTGTTTAGTCCCTAATTAATATTATAAATCGTACACATTTTTATTTAAAATAACAAAATGCTTTACCATTATTTAATGTTGCTATTTATTTTTTTCAGCAGTTTTTATGCTATTTGTCTCATTTTTTGTGGTAAATAAAAATTATAAATATGATAAATAAACAAAAAGATTGACTTTATACAGCTGTCAACACTCCACATGACAATTTAAACTGAACACATCACACAGATTGACTCGTCACAACCCATCGTCATCATCATCATCATAATAATTATTACTGTAGAACTAATTAAACTGAAGCAGTTTCACTTGCTACGAAACACATACAGAGAGACATTTGCTTATTCACAAACAGTCTGATGACTGGCAAGCTTAAAAGATCTTAACAGGCTTTTATGATACATAAAAAAATATGACAGCCTGCATACTAGTTTCCCCCCTTTCTGTAATCTGTTTTTCCTCACACACTGCTTCACTTCAGCCCTGTCTTCCCCAGTCAGGCCAGTCGGACTGGGATTAGGAGACTTCTGAAGTCACGAATGACCAAAGCGGTGCGAGATCACCCCCTTTATTCGCAAACAAAACTGCCAACATGCTGTTAAAGAACTAAGAGAGAAAAAAGCTAGAAAGAAGAAGAAGGGAGAGAGAGAGTGGAAGCGAGTGGCAGAATGGCAGGCGTTTCTCTCTGCCTGCTTTAGTGTGGCATGCATCTTAAAACATGGTCACACCTGTCACTTCCAATCTATCTAATCCACCACATACTTCAAACCACAGCTCGCGTCTTTCTCCAGAGATGTCTAGAAAACAATTCAAAGAGAAGGTGAGATGGCGGCAGAGGAAACTGTATTCCTTGGCTTTTTAATGTCCTTGGTTGTGACACTAAGTCTCGGACAGATCATTCCTTGATTGAGCTCTTAAAGAAGCGGATGAGCTAATGCTTTACTTTCTTACCCCAAATACAAGGCAAACGGAGTAACAGGTCTACAGTAGGGTTGATATTCAGGTTAAGTACCCCCAGATTTTCTGCTGTGTATGAATAAGTGTGCAAAGCTGTGTGTGTGAGTATATGTATTTATATGCATTTCTGATGTGCGGTGTGGGTGGTTCTGCTTTTAGTTGTGCAGATGTCAATTCTTCGTGGAAAGGCTCAAACTGCGCCTCTTTCCACGACCCTCTCTTCATCCTTGAACCACGACAGAATTAAACAACTTTTGTCCTCGTAAGCTCATGTGTGACAGGAGCACATTTAAACACACTTCAACTCTTGCCAAGAAAGCAAAATGCCTTCTTCCCCCCCTAGATTTTCCCCTCTCTTTAGCACAGATGCCAGCGTTTCTCCAAATGCCACCTCTTTTTTCCCTTCTTTTTTTAATGTTTGTCTTTCTTGATTCCAACCTGTTTCCCTCAGAGCGTTTCTCTCGTTCGCTTTCTCTCCGCTTCCATATGCTAACTCAAATCCGGTTATTTTACCAACACAGGTAGCGTCTAGCTAATGAGACTAATTCAATAGGCGGCCGTGTGATTCTCTGGCTTGCGTTCACCACACGCTAGGAAACTAACCTCTATGCTTGCTATCAGTTAAACTGTCAAGAGTCCCGCTGCTGAAACACACACGCTCGAGTTGGACATCTCTCCTCTCCTGCGGTGCTGACGCCTCGTCTGTTGTCTTAAGCCCGTGTTGTTGATCTCTACCGTGTGTTCGCAATCCGCTCACCTCTAAACCTGGCTCAACTGAGCTATTGTCAGCCCTGATCCTGCCGTGAGCGCGCACACACACACAGATGAAGATTTACAAGCGCTTACATACAGTTACATATAAATACCTCTGTTTATTAAATTTGCATTTACATGAACTTATGTCATGCAAATGGGGTGAAATAATTAGATTTGTATGAAGCACTCTATCCAAAAATATTTTAAATTAGTAGTTTTTAATTGTCAAACAAAGTAAAAAAAAAATGACATTTATGCAAAATGTTCCTCTTAAAGTACTGCATAATACCTTGAGTTTTAGTACTGATCTGATGTTTTGTTGGGGTTTGGGATCTCATTATAAAATGTATACATTGAAAAAAATTACACACCTGCACACACACACGCACACACAAATATATATATATATATATATATATATATATATAAATGTAATGCAGTTACACAGTTATAACATTATAATTAACATTGCATAATATAATATTACATATTTAATATTAAGTATTTTAACATGCATATTTGTATCTATTAAACAATTTACAAATTGAAACTGCTTGAAATGAGCTTTTAATGACGTTTATAGGGAACTAATTAATTTATTTTCAATAAAAAGAAATATTGGATTTTTACTAAACCAAAACCATGCATGAAAGCACTCAAGTATAGTTTTGGTTTTAGTAAAAATGAACTATTTCTCAAGGGTGTTTTGTTGATTTTGACTTTGAAAGGCTGAATTTGAAGCATCTGAGAACAAATCTTAACGTGACACCCAGATAGGAACATGTCTTCTCTTAATGCCTCTCCTCATTAACTGGACAAAAGGGAGAGTAATTAACACCTCGCTATTATCACCCGCGTGTAAAGCTCTTCCCACCTTTTGGTTTCAAAGCCTTCTACATCCCTCCTGTAAAAAAAAAAAAACTGGCAAGAGTACAGACCGCCGGGAACGCGCACCACCGCACCAACGTCTATTGTAGCAGGTTGTGCGCTGCAGCCCCGTTGACCCCATCGCCACAAATGCCCGTCTCTCTCTCTCCCTCTCAGGATGAAGAGGTCAGTGGAGTCTGAAGCGCGTGTGCGCTGCTGCCGTGTTAATTTACAATGACAAGATAAAGCGGTAATCTTCCGCTGCGCGCTACCCAGGGACTCGCCGAGTCGATTTACACTTCCCTATCACTTTATACAATTGCCGTGACAAAGCCCCTCAGAGTCCCCACTCGTGTAAATCTCTCCCTCACTCAACTCTTCTGCCAGTCAGCGCGGATCGGCTCAGGGAAACTTAATGTCTCACACATGCCAGCCTGCTTTTCCCAAAATCCGCCCGTGCTCGAGACGGATACGCTTTATTAATCCACATCAAATACAGCGCGCCTGTTTTTTCATGCCACGTCTGTCATGTCAGCACGAAAGACAGAGACAGCAGTCTAGCCTTTCAGATAACACAACAATTACAACCACTGCACTGCTGCTGATACATAATTATTCATGTTATGATTAATAAAAACAACAATCAGTTGTATAATAAACATTTGTTTGGTTCGTGCGCAACCTACTGTAACACTGTGACTAAACTGACATTACAACAGCCAGTTGTGTCACAAATATAAACATCTTGCAGTCTCAGAAACAAGGCAAGCTAAAATAACCTAAGGTTACTGGTGCCCACAAAAAGTAGCGTCTTCTTGCTTCCATACCCTAAACTCTGAAAAGAAAGGTTCTCCACTGGTATTTGATTTAATGAAGAGCCTTGCAAATCCATCCATGTACAAAAAAAGTTCTTCACAGGGATCTGTGGGGAACCCAAAATGCCATCACAGACAAACAGGTGCTGTAACTTACAAGGTAAAATCTTTGAACTTTTCTTTTTCTACAAGAATGTAGTAGTTTTAACTGCAAGAGACTCGACGAGAGAGAACCAACCATCATAAACAAACACACTGTGCTGCCAGTAGAGTGTGTAAAGCGAGAGTGAAGAAAAACCTGTGTGAGAAAGCTCGAGGACTTTGGTTTATTGTGGGAAACAGTTCCAAAACTGCAGAGTTCAGCGTGCTCTGTAATCACAGTTAATTGCAGAATTAGCTTACTGTTAAGTTCCTTAAGTACTGATTCATTGTTTTACAACCAAATTGATTCCCAAAGCCTGTGGCGACACAAGTTTATCAAGAGAGAGAGAGTGATAGTGGAGTCAGGTAAAAGGTCACTGAAGAGATACTACAGCTCAGGTGCGTGTTAACGTGAAGACGAGCGATCTGGGTCACAAGGTCCATCTTGTTTGTCTTGTCATATTTCGGCTTTAAACGCACAGCAGTACGTGTCCTTCATGACTGCACTGACCCATCATGAACTCGCACTCTCGATGACACACAAACAGCCAAACGTGTGATTCATTTTGCCCATTTTCACAAAAACGACCTATCTGTCTTTGACATCACCAGAGCGGGTCCACACCAAAAAGTGTGAGCGAGACAATAGGGAGGAGTCAATCAATTGCATTTTAATCAAGGGGGAGGGGCCAGTAAGCCTTCATCCAATTATATGAGCATACAGACACTTCTCTGGGGGGGGGGACTCACCATGTTTGCGTGTAGTGTTGGGGGGCTGTCGAGTAGTCGAGGAGATCGCGGGGACACCTTGCTGCAGTACGAACTCAGGGGCAAGTGAATGACAGCATGTCCGTCAACCTCTTCATCTTCCAATCGCTGTCTGCTCGTCGCCATGACTACCTCTCCATCTGTTCCCCCATATGGAGAGGCTGGTCGCTTGGAAGACATCCTGGAAAAATGAGAAAGGAAAAGTGACTGAGGCATTCAGGAAAGACATGGCAGAGACAGAGACGTGGCTGTTGTTTAATTGTGAGTGACATATATGGGAGCATTTCATACAGACACACACACCTGACACACCGCGCGCATAATGACAGCCATCAACGCCATAGCTTTGTCCACATCCATCCCTCCATCAAAGAGACGTCCCACCTACACTATCACAGAGCCATTTACTGTAGCAGCGCCGCACACGATGTGTTTAGCCAGCCTGTTTGATGTAAAGACTCGAGCGGCCCATTAAAGAAAAGTGCAGACGGCCTAGCGCACATCAAATATCACGTTAGCCAAGAACACAGACAGACAATGGTGTGTGTGCGCGCGAGCGTGTGAGCCACAGTAGATGTTAATGACAGTGTATATGGTGTTGACAATGCCAGAGAAAATAGGCCTTGATGACGGTCTGTGTTCCTCTGATACCGGCAGGAAGAAAAAGCATTTATTAAATGAACTCTCTCTCCCACAATGCATGGGGAGGAAAAATGAATATGCTCTCGTAATAAGATTTCATCTGGCTTACGGCATTGCCTAAGTGCTTTCATAGACGCTTCTCAGCCTTGGGGCTAGTGTTACTATGGCCCTGGGGAATAAGTACCACTCTTTTAAGAGAAAAAGACAGACAAGGATGAAGAGAGATGGAGAGAAGTACTTTTATTTGGCTCCTACTTGGCAACTAAAAGAATTGGCAAACAAATTTATTCGACTGCTGTGTCGTAGTAACTTGGCTTTCCTCCATAAGCTGATTTATAAGTGAAGCTCTGAAAGCCTATTTCTTAAACATATATATTTCTTACAACTGCGACTATGACTTCAAGTCAGTCTCACAATTCTGATTTTAGATTTCACAATATGACGTTACAGTTGAGTCCAAAATTATTAGCCCCCCTGAATTATTGGCCCCCTTTTAATCTTTTTCCCCAATTTCAGTTTAATGGAGAGAAAATTTCAACACATTTCTAAATATAATAGTTTTACACTTTTCTAATAACTGATTTATTTTGTCTTTGCCATGATGACTGTGAATAATATTTGACTAGATGTTTTTCAAAACACTTCTATACAGCTTAAAGTGACATTTAAAGGGTTAGCTAGGCAGGTTTGGGTAATTAAGCAAGTTAATGTATAACGATGGTTTGTTCTGTTGACTATCGAAATATAGCTTAAAGAGGCTAATAATTTTGTCCTTAAAATGGCTTTTAAAAAATTTTAAACTGCTTTTATTCTAGCCGAAATAAAACAAATAAAACTTTCTGCAGAAGAAAAAATATTATCAGACATACTGTGGAAATTTCCTTGCTCTGTTAAACAGCATTTGGGAAATATTTAAAAAAGAAAAAACAAAACAAAGGGGGGCTAATAATTCTGATTTAAACTGTATGTCTCATATGATTATTCTGCAGAGAGTATTACAACAATAATTTAGTTTTATACATAGTATTTTACAGTAAAATTTTGATGATTGCTTATAATTATCTTTTCTTCAATATTCTTATAATTGTGACTATCTTTCAGGATGTGACTCAAAATGATCACCTTTTTATTTGGTGCTTTATCTTACTATTTGTTTTGACTATTTCTGTTGCAACTGTGACTCATAATTTTGACCAGTAATCTGTCTGACTTTTTTTATTTTTACATTTGCAATTATTTCTTGCAACTGTGACTTGATATCTCACAATTATGACTTTCTCGTGATGACTTGAAGTCACATTGTTAATTTCCTGTAACTGCATTTTTTCACAATGTGACCATATCTCACAGTTGTGAATTTTAATGTAATTCAAACTCACCAGTTGAGTCTTTAATTTACTTAAAATATTTCTATGAAATCTTTGACTGCATTGTTACATCTCTCAATGTGACTTTAAATTTATAATTACAATTATTGCTCATAATTTTGACTATTTTGAACTGGGATTTTCTCATAATTTGAACTTCATTTCTTGCTATTGTGACTAATGTAACTGCTACTTTTATTTCTCACAATGTGACTTTATTTCTTATAAAGTAACTTTATAGCCAACAACTGTCATTTTATAACTCATAACAGAGATTTTATTACTGACCTTACAGCTCACCGTTACTCTTTAAAACATATAAACTTATTTAACACTATCTTTTAATTATTTTATCTAATGTTCTATGCTGCACACTGAGACTTACAGTACATGCAGTACAAAGTAAGCAATAGTGAGGTAACATTTTTTGCGCAGTTATCCTTCTTCAGCTAACATCCAGTCATGGTACACTTCAGGTTTGTGTGTGTTAAATGGTCTGGTCTGACTTAGACGCCACATCTGGCAGAGCTCCTGAGTGCTGCTAAGGTTTCTAGTTCTCTCATTTACTGCTTATTTGGTTAAGATTAGCAGTGAAGACAAACATCATATAATGTTTCTAACTGTCTGGACGGGATAAATAAGACTCACCTCAATCAAGCACAAGACTGGCGGCTATGGAAATGACAAAGACATGCTTTAAACAGTCTAGACTCACATTATAGATGAGATGGAATGAAGACTTTAACAATAAACCGGGATGCAGATGTCATGTCACATTATAGTGTCTGACAGCCACTGATCTGTCATAACAAACACTAACACAGGTAAAAACCTGAGTATTAAAGACTAGATCTGTGTTCAGTTGGCTGTATGAATGTAAAAGTGTGTGGGGTACCTTGGCTGTATGCTGGATCACACTGGGGCAGTAAAAGCAGTCAGTGCAGCTGTATAAACTGCAGTTGGGCCGTCAGAGCCGCACAGCCTGTCTGCCCCTCCACCAGCACTCTGTTTACTCTACCTCCAGACACTTACACACACTGGGCCCTTTTGTTTCACTCCGACACACACACACCTCTGTGCGGCTTTTTTCTAACACACCAACCCCCAACACACACATCAGAACTAACAAAGACACACACATGACCCTCATCTAAACGTAGGCCGTAAAGAGCGGCTTCTTATTAGAGCTAGCAAATTGCTTGTCACATCCCGAACCGAGAACCGTTGTTTTACTATTAAGGCTGGTGAGACATAAATCAGTGTAACGACTAGTTAGACCTTCAAAACAGATTGTTATCAAAAATTAATTATATTAAAATAATTAAAAGAGCAAAAACATAAAAAAAATATCTATTTAAAAAGTAAATTAAGTTTCAGTGTAATCCTATTCAAAACCAGTATTGCTCATGATTCTAATTCCAAGGGCAATATACCTTGCTCAAATATTTAGGTGAGTGAATTTTTCTGTATAAATACATCTTCAACATTAATTTCATGACTAATTTGCAGCGGTTTCCAATGCACGCACCTTTGCCATCTCTTTTCCGCTCTTCCCTGCCTCATGCACTTTTCCTTTCCCCTTTCTCTTCCCTACTTCCTAGCCGGCCCACTGACAGAAGCTTTTCACAGCTCCTCTTGAGCAATAAAATGTCTATTTTCCTGCGAGCCTTTGAAGTATAATTACTATACAATTCTGCTCCCCGGGTGAGCAGGTTATAGCCACTATTTCATTTAAAGTTGGCAGACCTGTCGTGGTGGAGAGTCTACATGAAACATTTAAAGCTTGTCGAGATGTTGGGATTAAAAAAGAGAGGGTTTTATTAAGCAGATAAATTGGCAGAAAAGCTGGTCTCCAAGGTCATAATTAGCAGCCATTAGCATAATTTCACTCCATCCTTCCACGGTTCCAATAAAGGCCGCTCTGCCAAACACACAGACCCTGTCCACTGACACACACATACACCGCTCGCAAACACAACACAGGCGCACAAAGAACAGTCTCTGAAGCTTTCTTACAGGCTAGTCATGTCTGCTTATTTGCATTGTAAACTTTAACAGCGGTCTTCACTCATTATCTGGTGGATTAATAACTTTATTGCCATTCATTTTCACAAGGCTAAGCATTGTGTTATTCATAAACAGCCTTGAATATCAAAGCTTAACATGCTGATATGGGTGAGGTGACTAAACACACAGTTATGTAGGAACACAAACGATGGCGGTATTATCTCCAAACACCAGTATTATCCAGTTCAGGGGGAATTATCAAAGAAAATGCCTTTACTTTTTCCACATTTAATAAACTTCAGCGTACGCACCCTGTCCCACTGCTGTTGAACTGCAGGTCTAGAGGCTAACTTTCACGGCTAATCGTTAAAAGCTAATGGCCACCCCACCGGTGCGCCGCTCGGGCCCCCTCCCGCCGGCCGCATGTGTTAAGCCCAGATTAAAGGCACACTTCCCCTTTGAGCTTAGACGCAGATTGAGCGCGCTCCTAAGTCCCTCTCATATCACATGTACATTTCTCTGCAGACGCTAATCGTCCAAAATACAGGGTCCATTAAACAGCGGAGTGGAGCTGCACTTTAAATACTGAATCTAGGAGCTTTACCTAATCACCATCAGCAGTGGTTAACACTCCAGAAGTGCCTCTAATGACAGGACATAATTTAGAGGCTAAACGTGTCACATACGCACACACTCGGATGTGCGCGGCCCACGGAAAAACTTGTGCAATGATGCTTTGTGGATGTCGCTCACATGTCTGTGATCAAAAACATTCAGAGTGGTTGATAAGGCCACCTTCTGTTGTTTTAATCACAATAACAGTATGATAATACATCCTGTATATTACATCCAAAATGTTTCTGTCAAACAAGCAATTAACTATTGCACATTTTAGCAGATTCTTAGCTCACTCGGATCAAACGCAAAACATCATTACACCGGGTGAAGGTAAATTCCTGTGTAATATGATTATGTGATTAGGAGGGTCAGCGCTTCTTTGTTATCAGACTGTGGGAATGAAACAAAGTGTGTCCAAAAGTTCAGACAATCAGCCCGTTCAGCGCAGATAACAACAGCAATGCCTTCACTAGGAAACTGAGAATACCTCACAATCCACTCAGACATAAAAGTGCTCATCCCTCTTTCTGCTCTTTATCTTACGCTC